CAAATTCACACAGAGAATTAACAGTTTACACCCCCTATCTATTATCCAACTATCCATGTTCTATACATCCATACATTTTCTGGAGCCTATTCCAGCTGAAAGTGGGTGAGGCAAGCTGCACAGTGGACAGGTCCGCAGTCCATCACAGGACCACACAACCACACACACTCACAACTAAGAGCCATAACCCTGACATGCATGTGTTCTTGTCTGTGGAGACTTGGGGAGGACATGTAAACTCCACACAGAAAAGGTCCCGGTCCCCCAAGGATTCAAACCGGGAACCCGCTACCTGTGAGGCAGCGGCTCTGCCCACCACACCACCATCCTGCCCCCAGCCTGCTCTTCTCAGGGGTCACTGTGTAAAATGTGACAGAGGAAACATACCTGTGCACGCTATGTGTTCTCTGCGATAATCCAGACCACCAGTGCACAGGAAGTTATCTGTGACCGCAACTGTTGGATCATCTGTTGTTATGCCATCTGCCTTTAGTGCCTTGTTGATGCACATTGGTCTCTATATCAGGTCAATAAGAAGTAAGTAAAGAGAAGCATTGGTTATAAAATGAATCCTTGGCTCTCTTTTTTTTATCCCAACCAATACATACAGGAACCAACTCTATTCTAATAAAGAAAGACTTACCATTTCTTTAAGTTTGGCAAAAACATCTTTTTTTTGTACAAGAGGGTCTGCCCGGGTAAGGAAACCAAGTCTTTCATATTGATTCTTTAACAGAAGTTGTTCTGTAAATACAAAAAAAACACAGGACATTTCATCCTTCCTTTAGTTCACCGAAAGTCCTAAAAAATGTAATTAAAAGAGTTTGACAGCACATATCAGGTCATGGTTGTTAATGGCCTGATATTAGCTGTGTCATTGATGTCTATTGACACATGAAACTGAACCTTTTAGGAAATATGAAGACATCTTAATGGCTTATCAAAGTTTGTCAACAGCCAATCTTCTGTGGGATGTATTCCTAAGTACATATTGTTGGGTCATTCGCTATTCAGTTTTGGATCAAATTTTTAAAAATATATACTTAAGGTTTCAACCATTATGTTGTCGAACTGGTTCTCAGAGTAGAATAGTACAATTCAGTGGATCTACTAGAGCTAATTGACTCTGATCAACTAGTTATTTAAGGTTTGGTTACATTTAAAATGGTATAAATGTATCAAACAACTTCACAATATTCTACATGAAGATCAGACCATTACAACAGAGCAGCCACACCTTGTTGCTCGCATGTTGAAGCTCTGGTCAGCCGTAAAGCATCATTGGTTTCCTGGGTGCAAGGTATGCATATGGGTCTGAAAAGTTTATTTGAAACGGGACAGTAAAATGTGTCATGAAAAAAATCTCCAAGCACAAACAAATCATTTGCTGCAATAGCAGCATCTGTTGGACACAAATTCTTACCTCGCAAGAGCGGACATCTCGACAGCATCCTCAAGCTGGATGAGCGCGATGTCAAAGTCATAAAACTCTTTCACACCTTTACTCACTCGGGCCGAGATATCGTAGTCTTTATGTAACGTAAAAGTTTTGACTTTTTTAACTAGAAAAAGAAACAAAAAGATTAAATCAGAGTAGCAATATCATTTCTGTTTTATAGTAATCAAATACTCATAATAATTGACAAAAAGAAAGCACAAAGTGATATATCTACAGCAAATATCTCAACATTTACCATGACCAGCATACAGGAGCTTTTTTTAATCTTGTAACATTGTTGTTATCTTTAATGTGAAGTGTTTACGTGTATAAAGAAGAGCAAAAGACACATTTGTTACCTATGCTGCCAGGTCTGTCTTCAATTTCAACTGTGACATGTTCTGGTAAATCACCAAACTGGAAGCAGTGAGCAGCAGTCAAGACAAATTTAGGTGCCACCAGAGAGCCGAGACATCTCTTTGGAGATGCACCCTTAAATTTGAAAGAAAATAAAAATCAATTGTTTGACTTTAGGCCAGTTGTTGACTAACTAAATGCAGGGGTCTGCATTCCAGTTCTTACAACATGATGATGACGGTGATGATGAAGTGTAATAATTAAATAGAACCATGAATGTCTTACCTGGACAATAACAAATGCCAACCACGGATATCTTTTCCTCTTGCTTACTTTGTCACCTGTTGTTTCGTAATCTTTGTGAAGACCACACAGACCAATGACTTCACTTTCATCTGCATTGAAAACAAAACACTTTTTGAAGATATATTCGTCCATTTATTTTTTTTATATACTATATTTATATATATATATATATATATATGTATCTATTCAACACAGCAGGAAATAGAAGGTTTTAAATAAAACTCACCAATTATTTCATCAAATGTTTCATTTAAATTTGTATCATATTCCAGTCTGAAGTAATGCTGGCCATCCTTTCCTGCTACGAGAGGCTGCAGGTCATCATCAAAGATGTCAGTTCCAATGGCAAAAACATAAATGTCTGCAACAAAATAGCACATATCCTAATAGGTCAACATGTCTTTGTTGTTTCAAAACACAATCTGCATGAAAAACATGCAGCAAAATGCTTCTCTGTGAGTGGAGATTCTTAGACTAAATGTGACTGGGCTAAAACATGAACACCAATGTCAACAGAAAACTGATGAAGAATTAAGATCACCAAGGTATTCATCTCTGGAGCCATCTGTCAGATCCATGTAGGCCAGTCTCTTTATTTTTGCAACAGTGGGTAAAGGGGAGCCACCCATGTTATAGGCACCTGTGGAGAAAATACTCTGGCTATTAAATTAATAAGAAAGAGATATAGGCAGAAAAACACTGGGGGGGGGGGGAGATTACCATCTGAGAAAAGGATGATAACGTGACGATGTTCTTTAAATTTTTCATCCTCAACGTTTTGTTTAATGAAAGCCATGCGTTCCTCAAATATCTTGAAAGCTGCGTTCAAGTCAGTTCCAGTATTTTTGTCTGAGTTAGATGCACACAAACAGATAAGTCCAACATGAAATTCGAGCTTTGGGTTTCAAACACTAGCAGTTTGTATGTGTGCTCCACTTACCATCAATTTTAAAATTTTTCAGGTCTTCAATCACAGAATTCAGTACGACTTTACCATCATGAAAATCAAGAATACTGACAACTTGATATATTTCAGAAGAAAAAAAGAGGATGTCATAGTTTGGCGTCACGCTGAAAGATGCAATCTGTAGACACATAAATCCAGTAATCAGATTAAATAGATCATTTCACACACAATTATCATTGTTTACTTACAAAATGATTTTACGGTTTGTCAGTTTTAATTGAATGTGACTAAGTTTATACATTTTATATAATCTGTTCAACATGCTGATGAAAATTTTTCAAAAACACAAGCCATTTGCTCCATAAGCCCATGAGTATTTGTGGATAAAACATGTGAAAGTCAGATTTCTGAACCTTATATGAAACTGACCTCCTCTGTGCTCTAACAAATCCTTCTGTCCCTCATTATCATTGATTAGATGGCCAGAGTGGTGCAACTAACTGCCATATTTCAGACATTTAAACAATACTTATTGCCAGCACCTATTAAAAAGTCCTGTCACTTCAAAGAGCATAATATGCCAAAGTAATATTTCCCCACCTTCATGCAGCCTGACAAAACACCGTTTACAGCTGTGTTTCTCTTTTGGTACATCTGGATTGATGGACTGATTACCATATTTTGAAGGAAAAATCTTGATAAGTCCCAAAGCACCACCTGTATGAGGTTTTTAAGCAGCTGGTTGAGCTTCTGCGTGATGTTCTGTCTTTTTTGGTCTCACCTTTTCAATAAGTGTTACAACAGCGTCTCTTGCTCTTTCAAAGTAGTCTTCCTCGATGCTCTCAGAAATGTCCACAGCAATGTAAATGTTGAGAGTGCCATTTTTTGAAATCCTTATTTTCCTCCCATCCTGTGTGTCATCTTAGTAAAAATAAGAAGGTTATAAGTAACAGAGTTTATTCCTGTTTGTTTTATTCGTTGACAAAATATGCTGCAATAACAATGACTGGCTGTCTAAGTGCCTATTAATACTGTTAATGATGAGGTTGGGTAACAGAACTTACCAATGGGCTGCAGAGTGGTGAGGGTGCCTTTGATTGCACTGCCAAATGCCTCTGACACCTCAACGGCAGTGTCGTAGGTATACTTGTCTGCAAGATTTCCCAGCCATTAAAAATGAGCTTTTAAAATTGTTTCAGATACTATTTACATGAAAGAAACTGGTGAGGTTAACCCTAACCCTACCCAGAATAAATCTCACTAACAATCCCAAAAAAGAATGAAACGTATTCATCTCCTTTAACATGACTGCTGGTTTTGTGGTCATTGTTTTAGAATGTATTGAAACATCACCTTCAAAGTTTTAACTCATAGGTGATTGGAGAGTACTTTGGCAACGACATGAATCTGTCTGAATAGAGTTAGGGGATGGGTCCAGATTCCAGAATAATCTTGGTTTTACAGCATTCATGCAGTGAACCAAACAACTGGTATAAAGTAACTGAATCATTAGAATGGAAACATGATGTGTTGGAATCTGTCTTACAATAACATGCCGGCTCTCTTCCAGTCCACTGGCCATTCTCCTGGCACACTCTTTCACTGGGTCCCACCAAAATTAAGTCCTCATTGCAGGTGTATTTCACTTTGTCATTAACATATAAGATGTTGCCAGCTCTTGAAGCTCCTGCTGGGATTCCGGGATCAGCACAGGTGTTTCCTGCTGTTGTAAGAAATGAAGAATAGATGATGAAGGAAGGGAAATTTATTTTGTTCTGCACCAAGTAAAAAAAAGAGACATGGATAATGGGTGTAGATTATCTCAACAATCTCATGCACGATTACTCCTCGGTTCTTGAATACCTTTCGCCTCGTATCCCAAATGCCTAAATGTCCAAATTTCCAAAATGTTCATTGGAAACAAATACAATAATGAAAACTCAACCAAAAAGCTCTCTGTTTACTCTTGACTTACAGTCACGGCTACAGATGGGAGTAAGACCGCTCCACTTTCCGTTTGGCAAGCAGGTACGACTGTATGAGCCTCTCCTTGTGTATCCAGAGTAGCATTCATATGTAGTTACGTTGGCAACAAAGTACCTCTGTAGATAAGGGGTGACAATTCCATTCTCAAACACAGTGGGGTCTGGACACTGGACGACTGTGTGACAGAGCAAAATGGTCAGCCACCATTTACAAAGAAGAAACAGCAAAAGAAGAAAGTAAAGTTACTCACGGTTGCACGTTTGTCTTGTTGAAGGTTCAGGGTCCCATTTTCCACTGGGCTGGCAGACATGGCGAAGATGAGGGTATGGATAGTAGCCGTCAGAACAGTTGAAGACCGCTATGCTTCCTTTCTTCAGCTGCTTGGTAAGGAAGTAACTTCCCCCCTTGATTTGTAAGTCATCTTCAAGGCAATCACACTGAACCTGATGCACTGAAAAAATGACTTAAGTGAGCAAATATTTCAGAATGTTAGATCTACGATCCATGAGACTGACTCAGCCTCTCCCATGAATTTCAATGCAGTCTTTATCACATTGCTTCAATTTATTGAGATTTGGTTTTTTTTTTTTTTTTTCTGCAGCTTTCCTCATGTTCAGGTTGAGGTTTGGACTTTCACAGGGACCTCAACACTTACTCAATTTGGAATGTCCAATCAACCTAACATGCAGGTTTTTGGACTGTGGGAGGAAGCCAGAGAACCCGGAGAGAACCCACACAGAGACAAGGAGAACATGCAAACTCCACACAAACTCCTGGGTCCCCCAGGACTCAAACCCAGAACCTTTTTGCTGTGAGGCAATGGTGCTAACCACCACACCACCATGCCGCCCTGAAGTTATGATTATTGTTTGAAAAAAGATTATTGTCCTTTTACTTGGGAAGGGCCACTTCCTATTTTGATTCAAGCAAAATTCACAAAAATATGTTGGGAGTAGTTAAAATACTGAGTTAAGGAATTCCAAATCAGACTTTTTTTAAAGTAGCGTTTCTGAACATTTCAACTGCAGGTACTGATTTAGCTTTTTTATCTTAAGTGTATGCCTTTTTATTTCATAGGTCAATGCTCTGGATAATTGATGTTAGGGTTCATTTAAACTTGCACTCTAAATAGAAAGATTTTGTCAATCTGATTGAACCAAGTTGAAATACATTACCCATACAGAGATGAAACAGGATGGCAAAGATCCAACTGCAGAGGACAGACGTGTCCATGCTGAACTTTGAAGGAGAAACAGTTTGATAATGAGATAAACTTTTCAGGGCTTTTCATTCAATTCAGGGTAAACAGAGCTAAGGGACAAAGACCATCCTGTTATTTATTAACTTTGTATGCAGCAAAAGAATATCAATGTTTGGTTTGTGTCACAAAAAATCAGTGTATGCAAACACCTAATAATAACTTTTATAATCATATAATTATTATTATTATAATTTTTCTTACTAATATAAAATTGTTATGTGAAAAAATAAGATACATTTAAATCAAATTGCTGGTACAACTCAGGGAGACTTTACAGAATTTTGTACATGTCTGATTACCCTCTCATTTTAATTGTACCGTATGGTACCTCCTAAATTTAAATAAGCCAAAGCCTTGTTGATCCAGGACTTTCTCCCATGTGTACACACAATCCCATGTTGCACAAACCACCCCACCCCCTCCAAATAACAAGGTCATTGTAAAATCGATTAAAATAACACTCATCATTTCCCAAAACCCAGAGACACAGCTGGACATTGTTTAATTAGTTTTAGTTGTTTATTTCACTGCTCAGTGGATCAGCTTAATCAATGCTGTCAATACTGTGCATCACTGTCTTGACAGATCTCTGGCAGGCTGTGGTATTAAGTTATTCCCACGAAAACACTCAAACGACAGGAATTTACTCACTGTACCGAAAATACTGAATTTTATACACTTATAGGATAGCTTTTGTGGCATGTTCATATTTTGTGAAAATGTCTAATTTAGCCCAAATTTATTTGTTAGTCTTGTAAAATTTCAAAGGAACCAAGATGATTGAATATAAGAAAGTTTTTTCTTTCATTCTTGGCAGACTACTGGCCCCAATTCTGGTTCTTTTAGGGGCTTTTTTTTATCAGTGGAATGTAATAAACAAGCCCTTCAAACTATAACTTCATGTTTCTCAATGACTAAATTTCCCTTATATCACAATGTGCACTTGGCAAGAGTCGACATTATATAAATAAAGTTGATCTCAGCTGAATGGAACATTACCAGGCAAACATTTTTCTTTGTACTCTTTTTCTTAAAAAATCTAAAATGTTGAGAATTATTACAAGCGTTAGATTTGTTGTCGTATTTATCAGTTATATTCACATAACGAATGTTAAAACATCAAGGTTTACGACATGTGGAAATAAACTCTATTCCCTGCTACTATTTGTTTGTTCCTGTGTTTTTCTTTTTAGTTTGTTTGGTTTACTTTGGAGTGAAAGAAATGCAGTGGGGAACATTTTAACCCCAAACATTAAGACGCAACACAGCGTAATAAAAGAAAGGGAGTAGAAGAAGAAAAGCAGGAAATGACGGAATTGGCGGAAGTCAGCAGGGCTAAAACACTAACGCGCCAAATTTGTGTAAAATTCTCAAAACAGACATTAAAAGATAGTCTGACCCAGAAGGGAATATCTACATATGTAGAACTCGCCCGTGGAGTAAAACAGTAAAGGTATTTGCTCCAAATACACGCTGATAACTTGACCACGCGTCGCGTATTTCATGCTAATTTAACTATCTGTTTTATTTTGCGACGTCACAGATTGAAGAAGAAAACTGTGGGTTTTCATTAGACAGACACCGCCTAAAAGTTATCGTGTGTCCAAAAAAATAGGCAGATGTGTTAGTCTGTGTTTGACATGGAGATTTAGACTTTTTGTTGTCTTTTGGTAGCATGGCGGTGCCTTTTGTGCAGGACTGGGACCTCGTTCAGACGCTCGGAGAAGGATCCTACGGAGAGTACGCTTCCTCATCATTCAAAACACATTTTGTAATCTTACATTTCACATAGATGTTGGTTTGAATGTTTTGTGTGCTTTCGGTAATTTATCTGCCAACATCTCCCCACATCTTTTTTCTTGTCCAATCAGGGTGAGGCTGCTGGTGAACAGACAGACGGAGGAGGCTGTCGCCGTGAAGGTGATCGATACCTCACAGGCTAAAGAGTGTGCCGACAATGTCAAGAAAGAGGTGTGCATCCATAAGGTAAGACATCACTTCCAGTTCTGTGTGTCTACAATAGGAGTGTACCACTACCACAAATCATACTCGTTTACTCCTAGGATTGCTTTGAATATACTACAATGAAAGACAACTTATGGGTTGTTCCCATTAAACCTTTAAGATCTCTTAAAGTATTAGATGCATTGTACTAACTAATTAAATAAGACAATGTTACTGCATAATACCATAGCCACATAACTTTCATACCAACACTCAATTATTTCTAATTCGATTCAACCAACTGATTAATGTTTACACTTATGAGCATCCTGCAATAGTATTATAATACGTTTGTTTAAGCTATTCTTTGCTGTTCTATTTCCAATCTTACTGGTAAACTTATGTTATTTAGTTTCACTTAAACTGACTTCCATCAATCAACTTCATATAACATTGTGATGACATTTCAATAGATGAAGCATGTTTGTTGGGAACATTTGAAGTTTTAGAGCTGCAAATCCACATTTCCTCTAAATGTGGTCAGATTGATTAGTAAAGTTACAAAAGAAAGCCTTAAAAGAAATCTGGTCCACTCTTGATCATACTTAATTACTACAGCACTTTTCCTAGGAAAGTGAATGAGCCTCCTGTACTCTTCTGCAGCACGCCTTCAATCCTAAAACAGCAAACTTTAAAAATGATTTCATTCACCTAAAAGGACTTGATCTGAGGAGATGAAAGAAATGGAAAAATTGTACCATATTTAGATCTTATACATTTTGAGAGCTGTATCACCAAAGAAAAATAATTTAAGACAATAGAACTGCCTAAGTTACCGTAACTACACCTTTATAAAAGCTACAAGTTGATGTTTTTTTTTACGTGTGGTTGGTATGAGAATCCTGTTGCATATACATATCAAAAAGTTCACTTTTGTTTGGTAGATGCTCAACCACCCCAACATCGTAAGGTTTTTTGGCCATCGGAAGGAAGGGCCGACTGTTTATCTGTTTCTGGAGTACTGCACCGGCGGAGAGCTGTTTGACCGAATCGGTGAGACTGGCCACATGCATCTCATGAAGATTTTGCCAACTGCTTTGCAGTTTTCACATTATAGGAGGAAGAAGACTGTAAATTACGCTTCCAAACATATTTTGTAATGAGAGGCACAGATAATGTTTTCTTTCTCACTTAATTAGCATATTTGTTCCATAGAGCCTGATGTGGGAATGGCAGAAAAGGATGCTCACAGATTTTTCCAGCAGCTAGTGGCGGCTGTGGTGAGTGAATCAAGGCTATTTGTGGATTATGACTTCCTGCACAATTTTCAGTTGTCATCCGTTTTTAGATGCACTTTCACAGGAGTACCTCCACTGCCTTGGAATCACCCACAGAGACATAAAGCCTGAGAACATTTTGCTGGATGATAAAGGTAAAGGAAAGACATGTGGAAAGGTTTCACACAATGTCTTTAATTTATTGGAATTTTGCACAAACCGGTGTTCTTTGCCTTTAGACAACCTGAAGCTGACAGATTTTGGCCTAGCCACCATGTTCCGTTTCAAAGGACGAGAGCGCCTTCTGAATCGACTCTGTGGAACGCTGCCCTACGTGGCTCCGGAGCTTCTCAGCCAGACCGAGTACAGAGCTCAGCCGGCAGATATCTGGGCCTGTGGGATAGTACTAACTGCCATGCTGGCTGGAGGTAAGATATGCTTAATTTCTTTGGAGCATGATTTTTCTTTTGAATACTGAATAAATTCTGAAACCCAGATTGTTAAAGTATCTGTTTGGTGGTAAGTTTAAAAAAAACTTTTAGTAGCATTTAGATTTAGATTATTGAAATATTTTGTTATTTGCATTTCAAATGAGGAACATTTTGTATCTATGTTGCTTTGTTAGAGTTGCCGTGGGACCAGCCAACAGAGAGCTGTCAGGAGTATTCAGACTGGCTTCTAAAGAAAACATACCTACCTCCCTGGAAGAAAATACAACCATTACCTCTCAGTAAGTCTAATAGTTAAGAAAGGGAGGGCTGCAAGTAGCACTGATAAAAGCAAAAGTCTGATAGTTCAGTTGTTCACTCTCTTTTAAATGGAAGGTTTCTGGAAAAACAAGTTTGGAGTTCTGTTTTAGTTTTTGTATGTTCTGATACTAAACTTGACTCATTCTGACAGGTCTGTTGTCAAAGTTACTTCTGGCCAGTCCGGATGCACGAATAACCATCACAGACATACAGAAGGACCGCTGGTTCACACAAGGCAAGCCTCTATATCAACTCAATATTTTTACTGTGTTTTATGTATAGCTAGATGGATCAGAAAAATGTTTAAACTTGATGTTTAAAACCCCTCATAAAGATTTGATTTGATTTGGTTTCTCAGAAGGTGAAAAACAAAAAGTTTGTTGGTGACAGTTGAATTCCCCAGAAAATCATTTTTTTCTATCCATAGGTTCTCTGAGCTCAAGGGGGAACAAAGATCTTCGATGTGATGTGGAACCGCGGGCCAACAGGTCAAAGCTCTGTCTCTCTTTGTTCAACGCAAAGCTGACTTTCATTACTCTGTGTGACTTTTAATGAGGACTGCCGTCTCCTCTCTGTAGTGATGACAGGATGCAGTTTTCCAGCTCTCAGCCCGATTTTGCCGCGAGTGGTTGGGAAGCCATGTTGGTGCTCGGTCAAACAGAAGGTCAAGTCAGCTTCTCTCAGCCAACCAAGCCTGAGCACATGTTACTGGGCAGCCAGTTACTGTGCACACCAGGAGCCAGTCAGGTAGCGCACATCCTCCAAGCTACTTTTTTACGTTTTTATTACATGCACTGCATTTGTCTATCTGTTTTTTTTTTATCTCAAAAAGCAGAGTACAACGGCCATATTTGTGTTAAAAGTTTGCTTTCTTTTTTAATATGTCCAAATGTTTCTCTGTGTACAGTCGCCCTGGCAGAGGTTAGTGCGGAGAATGACGCGTTTCTTCACCAATGTTGACGCCGATGCCTCCTTACTGTCACTGAAAGATGCCTGTGAGGGTTTGGCCCTCGGTTTCAAACACACCTGCATTAAACAGGTACGTCGGTGCTGAAGTTTTCAGGAGTCAAGCATTTCCAGATGGTACAGAGTCTTTTTGATTAGTTTTGTTTTCTGAGTTGAATCAGGTTCTTTGTGCCCTCTAGGTGACTGTGAGCACACTAGACAAACGCAACAACAAACTCATCTTCAAAGTCCATTTACTGGAAATGGATCAGAGGGTGCTGCTGGACTTCAGACTGTCTAAGGTGGGTTGTACTATATCAGGATGGTGTGTGTGGTGATAAGAGGTGAGCCAGTGGTATTCCTTTTCAAACCTAGAGGTTTGAAAACAGGGGAAGAAACAGGCGAGTGGAAAAGTGCAGAGATAGAGACAGAAATCCTCTGTTGGTGCTCTTTGAATACCACAAAGACACATCTAATTCCACATTGAATGCATGCCCTGCTTCTAAGACTGTATTTATTTGAAATAAGAGTTTGTCAGTCTGCTTTCACTTTTTAAACTATGTTTAAACAGCCAATACACATATTTTTAGATTTGGCTCTTGTGAGACCTGATCAGAACTAGTTAAGTTCAAGTTCTCAAAGTTGTTCAGTAATGGTTGTCAGTGCATCAAAACACCACAAACCAGTCTGACAATAAGTAAAATGTGTAAGTTAGTTACACATGAGTTCATTTTCTTTTTTTAAAGCATTTATTTGCTAGCTGTGTGTGTGGATAGACAGGATTTAGTCATGATTAATTTGTTAAACAGCGCATGCAGTTTGATTAAATAATATTTATAGACACTGTCAGATGTATTTAATTGATACCCATGACACTTTTTTGTCAGTTTTCTTCCTTCTGATAAAATCCACAAGATTTCGCAATGACAGACTTGACCCCCTTAGAGGGTCTTGATGTTTACTAATTTTCATTGTGCATACATGTGTGAGTGTGTGTGTATTTTAATAAAAAAAGTTGCCGTGTCTGTGTATCTCCAGGGTGATGGTTTGGAGTTTAAGCGTCTCTTCGTGAAGATCAAGCAGAAGCTTGGAGACATTGTCAGCACTCAGAGAATTTTACTCCCCCTCACATGAGCGACTTCCAGACACGCTCTGCTTTGACTTTTGGAGACAAGCTGTACATATTTACATGTTCTGATAACTGTTCTTTGGAAACCGGTAGGCTTGTAAATCAGGAGGACAAAGAAATCCAGGTGCTATGTCCTGTTCTGCAACATGTTCGCTATTAAGTTTTAGTTTTTGGTTAGAAATTGAACAAAGCTGCATGCAAGGAATGAAGAGGATGAGGTAGTGTGCACGGTCGTCCGTGATCTGCTGTTGTACAAACTGACGTGTTATGATTATGTTTGATATGATACAGTCCAAAGTTAAATAAATTATTAAAACCAACCAGTGTCCTGGATGTTACGGGGTAAGCGGCGTAAGGATGAGCACAAATGTTCCTTTTTTAAAGTGAGACGAGCTGTTTTCTGTCCAAATCCAACACACTGAGTTTGAAAGACTTAAAAATATCAAGTAAGGCCATTGAAGACCTTTGTAGCCTACTGAAGCAAAAACTTGTGCTACTTGTCTTGAATAGAACGAAAAATGACTGGCAAATATGTGCAGAATATATACATTTTTATTTACTGAGCTCATGGTTTAAATTGCTACATGAAAAGCAACATAAAAGTTTGTAGATGTTACAGTAAACAGAAGGAAAAGTGTTAAGTACTTTGTCATTCAGACTGTCCATAATCATAGGTCCAGGTTAAATTCCAGCTGAAATCGACTGAGTTATAACTAGGAGCCCGTAGCCTTGACTGTGATGGTGACGCTGACAGGCTCGTTACCTTCTCCAGCGGCAGGGGCCTGACTGGCGGGGGCTGGGTTAACGCTCAGAGGCGAGGCTGCCCGGGGTATTGCCAGGGCTGGACCTGAAAAAGACCCAACATCAAAATCACCAGAAACATCAGCTGGCGTCCTCTGCGGTTTTGGGTGGTCAGCCTTTTCCACGGATGCTCCTGTTAATTTCACATCTTTTAGGGTGCGTGAGATGACAATTACCAGCAGCTTTCTGTCATGGTCACATTCTTTGTTTTTTGTTTTTTCTACGTTGCGGATAACATGAGGTTAAGTCACCAAAACCCAAATGTGCAGAGTCCATTTTTAACTTTGCTTGAACATATTTGATGTAAATTTCTCTTGCCTGGACGAGATGATCCAGCAATGTCCTCAAATCCACCTTCTGATCCTCCGACCATTTAATCCTCTGGGAAGTTAATGTTTTCCCTGGACTGGCTGTGCTGCCTGTACAAACACAAAAGAAAATATGGATTGTGTGTATAGATAAGTCAAATGTGAACAACTACACAAAAAGGTTCCATTCTTGGTCTCTATTGTCAACAAATGCACAGATACTCACGAGCCAAACAGCATGTCATGTAGTCCTGATGGGAGAAACGGGATAAGTTAACAGAACGCAGTATTTTAGTATATTTGCAGTCTAGATAAACAGCATGGCGTTCATTGTGTGCGGTACTCACGAGGATTGTTGTTACGGTTGCGGATTATGTACACGAGCAGCAGCACCGTAAGAATGGCTGCAAAAAGCATCCCGCCAATTGCTGCTCCAATCACAGCAGGGTACATGTTGGATCGTGGTTCCGCTGCAACACATCACAGTTACAAATTGCAAAATAGTGCATTTCTAAAGAAACACAGCTTTTCCTGCCAAAAACCTATTGTAAGCGTCTTAACTAACTGTAAAACCAGTGTCAGGACTAATTTTGTAGTCTCATAATCGCAAATGTCTCCTTCACAGTGTAATGATGCGGTCATGATAAATTACTTCCATCCACCACTTCGAACTCAGCATTTGAATTACAAAGCAAGTTTGTCACAACCAGATTGTATTTGCTTTGTTTGGTTTAAACATACCTAAACTGAAATCAGTGTGATCCGGGTCATTGATCATGGGTATCACCTATCTGTCGACACAGCTTTTTCTCTTCAGGTTCTCTGCCTACACCTGATGGACCACTAACTGATTCAGTTGCAGATAAACAACTAATCCAAATATAGCTTACTTTTTTGTTGAGCAAAAAAGAAAAGAGCCGTAGTTTAAATTAGTGAATTATATCAAAATGAGTCAAATCTCTTGCTTTTCACAGCTTATTTAAAAACAGACTGATAGTAGCCTCCCTCAGATCTGATGACGTGTTCAGACTGAAGACTAACCACAGTCTAGCTGCTATAGTTTCATAGTAGGCCCTTCTGATCACTATGTTTATTACACCCTAAACAATCAAAATGCTGCTTGAGAGCATCATGATGTACCAGAAATTTGACATTTAAAGCTAATTATATGTTAGAAGAAGCACACAAGGCCAGTTTCAGGGAAAGTCACAGGGAAAGGACACAGGCAAAGAGGAAGCGCGTGCAAGGTGTATGTGACTGTGTGCATTTGATTTTTGTTTGAGTGTGAGTCTTTCACCTAAGGGGATAAGAAAAGAGAAAACCAACAGGTTAGAATAATGCCAGACAATGCTGCAGTCTCAACATGTGACCAACATCCACCGTATTTGAATCTCTAACTCACCTGTCACCCTTATAAAATTTGTATCATTTGTTATCTCTGCCCTTTCCCATTTAAAATGTCTTGCATGTGATCACATTCTCCCCACTCTGTTTACTTACTATACCTGGAGTCTTTGCTGCAGATGGGTGTCCGATGGTGCGGTGGTTAATAGGCGTGATGCGGAACTGGTAGGTAACAGTTGGTGTCAGTCTGCTTACTTTGTGGCTCCGGGCACTTGGATCCCTAACGATGGTAAGGTACCAGTCTTGAGAACCAGCCCTTGCCTCAGCTTGCTCCTTCATTTCATTGCTGCTTTCTTTCTTTCCTGGTCGTTCCGATATCCCTCGGTACTCAAGGAAAAAACCTGTCCAACCCCCAAAATCTTCGTTCTCAACCTGCCACTCCAGCTCCACCTCATTACGCTGTTGACTGTTGTACATGACTGTGACCAGGGTGGCATTGGGTGGCATGGGGTGCTCTGATTCAGAGACAAAACAAACAGAAATACACACCTCCTTAAAACATGTAAATACCACAGCACTTGAGTCCTAAAAAAACGTGACATACTTCACCATATCGTTATTTATTGGTTCAGAAATAAAACAAAAAGCAGAGGCAGTGTGTAAAACACTTTAGTCCGAGGCTAAATTCCCTAACCTCTTTGAATGAGATTCCCCACAAAATGCTTGTTTTACGCCCTCTACAGGACGTACAGACAGCGTATAAACAGTGTGAAAATAGAAACACAATAAAGAAATAACAATACTCTTTTTTCTGTAGAGTCTGTGTTTCAGACTCTACAGACCTCAGTTAGAATTTTAAATGTAAAGGCTCACAACTGCCCAGTATGAAAGAAACTGTTTGTGTATGTTTTGTTGGGAAGCGCCCCTTGTGGAGAGTGTCCTGTTTAAAAAGAATTATGACAGCATATCTCAGGTTTGCAGCATGGCATCAGAACAAACCACAAAGTACTAAGTACTCACTACTTTATCTAATGGGACATGTGGAGACATTAACGGTACATCAGAACTGTCATCCAATTATCAGCAAGGAGACACTTAAACTACACTGAAAACCTGTTGACCAACAAATACAAATGGTGGAAAAATAGTTTTCCTTACTCTTGACCACCAAAGTGACATTGATTTCAGCTCCTC